GTATTGATGTCAGCAACGCTCTCTGTTCTAAAAATCATTCTAGGCATCCGGCTAGTCCTCGCCTAGGCGCTAGGCGGTGGCCGAACGCCCCGATTTTCGTCTAGGCGCTTCGATTAATTGGTTTGCCATCTAGGTGAATTAGTCAGCCGCCTATGGCGCCTAGTTGCCCGCCCATAATGCATAATCGGCCGTCTAGGCCGTCTAGAGTCGCCGAACACTACTTTACTTTTTAATTTTAATTTTTTAAGCGATATAAGTACTTTAACTTTACCCACAGATATAAAGAAATGAAGTTGTAAATTAATATAAAGATATATATGTTTGTATATATACCTAAGTTTTATTATTATTTATATTTATAACATAATGAAGTTGAGTGATTAGTTATCATATACTACGTATGATTAATGTGATAATTCTATCATTCATGTTTGTTAATGTATGTGTATATATGTATTTTATACACACAAAAATACAATATCACTTGTCATATTATTTATGCAAAAATGTAGATAAAAATGCAATTTATATGTGTCTGATTAATCCCCGACTAGGCGCCCGCCTAGACACCTAGGCGCTAGGCGCTGGACTGGCGCCTAGCTCCTTTTAGAACATTGGCAACACTTTAGTGGATCAGTTTCTTTTCTTTTGAATGTTGAGAGGCCAACGATCATGATGGGGATCTAATTTGGAGTGTCCAAAGCTGTCGCGGTTTGAAGATCTCTTGCATGTAAGGCCCGGCTAGGCACTATCGGCCAGGCTCAGTGTGACCTGGGATGGAGGGGAGGTCAACTCGGTTGTGGTGTGGCGGTGTTGCGTAGCAAGGGAGCGGGAAGGCTATCACATACTTGGGCATGTATGTAGATGTGGGAAAACACAAGGAAATGACTATGGCGGACCATAGTTCGGCCGACAATGAAAGATCAATCACAGTGGTACCGATGATCCGACCTCCTCCTGAACCACCGCCATGAGTTGAATGAGGTGCTAGGGTTCGAGAAATTTGTCCTACTAGTTATTGTTATTTTGTTGTTTGGTTTCTTGTTAAAGTCTGTGTTGCTAGGTTTATCCGGATGATTGGAAATTTAGCTTATGTTTTTGTCGTTAGAAGTATACAGATCTATAGTACCTGTGATAATTGTGTCAAGTCCGCTTCGTGGTTAGTGATTCGTGTTGCTCTTTTTGGGTGACCATTTCTATGTCTAATTGTACGGTTTACAATCGTAATCGGTGAAGGTTAATTGGTGTCGGGTATAATTTTTCTTTGATTAATGCAACGATCTTGAAACTAATGAAATATACCGGCGATTCCCATTCAAAAAAGGAAAGAAACTTATTCATTAATGATAATGGTAACAAGGAACATAGCAAATAAGTCAGATGCAACACTCGGGTGAGATATAGAACCGAGAGGACACCATGACCCAACTACTTCGCTAATCCTACAGGGATGTAGATTAAACGAGCAACATTGTTGCACCTGCTACTCAAACTACAACTAAAAGAAAGAATATTATTTTGTCTAAAAGCAAATGAACATAAATAAATCCGATTTCACCTGCCACTAGAAAGGAAACTTTGATTGGATATGCACTCACCAAAGGTAAAATTCCCAACTTCTCTCTAGCACTTCTCATCGTCTCCATTCAAATCATCTTTTCACATCCCACCTCCTTTCAAAGGTTCCATCACTATGTTAGGTGGTGCTTTCTCACAAGCATCGTCTCCTTCCCACTTTTTGTATCTACTACATCCACCTCCATACTAGCCTCGACGCCCTCTCCAAGCACATTCTCAAAAAAATCAAACATTTTTTGTTTCAACAATTGTATCACAATCAAGTACTCCCTCTGTCCCGCTAAAATTGTCCCATTTTACCTTTTCGGGAAGTCTCACTAAGATTGTCCCATACCAAATTTGGTAAATATTGTGTGGCTCTACATCATTCTTACTTTATTCTTACTTTATCAATTTAATATCAACCACACAAACCCACTTTTCTTAATAATCGTGTCACCTTCTCTCGTCTCAATCTTAGTGGGACGGAGGTAGTACATCACTTTTCAAAACAAGAAATCTACAAGTAGCACTAGATTCAACATAACCAATAAACATGCAATCAAGAAGTCTTAGAACCATTTTTCCTTTTCTTAGGATAAGGCAATAAGATTTTAGCTAAATACCCCACACTTTCAAATATTTCAAATTAGGTGCAAAATCTTTCCACAATTCATAAGGAGGGTTTCTTACTGTGCTTCTAGAGAATCTTACTCTGTAAGAGACAAGCAAAAAGAATAGCCCCTCAACCCCCAAAATTTAGCAGGTGCATCGGAACTAGTTAAGGAGTATTCATCATCTCTTTTAGTGCCCTAATTTTTGTTTCAGCTATTCCATTAGATTCGAGTGAATATGACAGCGTTATCTCATGAATAATCTCTTCTTTTTCACAAATATCATTAAATAAAATATATCCGCCTCCTTCCAAGTACCCTTTTGTCTGATCTCATCCCACTTCATGGATGTTAATCTTAACATTGAACAGATACTATGATAGGTTAGCAAGAATTGCCAAATAAATACTCGCCTCCTCTATCCGATCTAACTCTCTTAATCTTCTTATTTAGTTAATTTTCTACATCGGATTTATACACTAAAATTTTAACAAAATCTTTATCCTTATTTAATGCACCAAAACCCGTGTGATATATAAATTCAAAAAATGCGTCAAACCCTTTGTGTTATAACTTTTCATGTATAAAACCTCCTTCAAGAATAAATTTAACAATTTAGAAATCATTTATCTTAATATTATGAATAAATATGCAAGTAAGTTTGTCAAGATTGTTAAATTATGCAAAAATACTAATTAATTTTGATATAATTGGCAATTATTTTGTTCTTGGAGGGGTTTTTACGCATGAATAATTATATATAACACGTAAGTGGGGTTTAACGCATTTTTAAAGGAAAAATGACAAGAATAATCCCGCATTTGACGATCTTCTCATAGTAATCTCACTTTATGTAATCCCAGAATAATCCGACATTTGACCGATCTTCTCATAGTAATCTCACTTTTATGTAATCTCGGAATAATCTCACATTTGCATTTCATCTTCTTTCGTTGGACCCTAACCGGTTGGTGATTTACTATAGCAAATTTTTTTTCTTTGAAAATCTTACATAAATAATTCCACCTTTCACAAATCTTCTCAAAACGGTCTCATGTTTCATTTTTCTTATTTCTCCCTAAACCTTCTCTTTTTTTATCCCTAGAAACTTTTTTATTCCTTTTTCCATCCCTTTGTTCTTATTTCTTTTCCATATTTATTACATTATTTCTCACTCTATTAGAAGTACTTTTTTTTGAAAAAAATCCTTCACAAATCGTTTTTTGTAGTTTTCTTTTTCTCTTCATGTATTTTTATTTCATTTCCCTTTCATGTGTTTTTCTTCTTAATCATTCTCTTGTTATTAATGATTTTTCTCACTCTACTTTTTGTTATATTTTCACACTCTCATCCAACCCAAGAAAAAGTATATCACTTCTAATTACTCTAATCCACGTTTGTTTGATTCTTCCTCTCTTCCCCGCTTCTTCTTCACACCTCTCAACTCGTCTGACAACTGCATCACTCAATCTGACTGACTGTTTTTAAATAGGTGTTACTCTCACATTTTGTCTGATTGTCTCATATCTCAAACGTTCCTTTCTATATTTTCCAAAATAATAGAAACTTTCCGAAATAGGAGTAAATGAATCCTATTTGGGGAGGAATACAATACCACTCATATTTGAAAAAATATAGTATTATATTTGACTCCTATTTTATGAAATTCTCTATATAATGGCAAACTACATAGGGGTTAGGGATGGACTAAACTGGGCCGGCCCGGAACCGGCCCGGCCCGCTACTGTGGGGGCCCGGACCAAACCAAGACAGGTTGGCCGGTTCCGGGCTTTTAGTAGGGTTGGACTCGGGCCGGGTGGCCCGACCCGGAACCGGCCCGAGACCGGTACTGTTCCGGCCCGGCCCGAACTGGTGGCCCGATCAGTGACCGGTCCGGGTAGGCCCGACCCGGTGGGTTTCCGGTCCGGGCTCGGGTCACCCATAACAAGGCCCGGCCCGGCCAAGCCCAGGCCCGGGTCGGACCAAATTTATTTATTTATTTTGGTTTTTTTCATTTGTTTGGACTCCACCGAGTTGAGCTTGATGTTTAGGAGGGGTTTGGGGGGGTTTGGGGGGGGTGGGGGTGAGGGGGGTCAGGGATGGGTAGCTAATCAAAAAAAAAAATAACCAAACCCGAGGCCCAGACCGGACCCGGTGGCTACCCGAGCCGGTCCCGAGTCCAGCTATATAGAACCACCGGCCCGACCGGGCCTAGGCCCCGCCCAGGTCCGACCCAGCCCGAGTCCAACCATAGTTTTTAGCCCGTTTGGGTGGGCCAGGCGGGCCAGGCTCGGGTCCAGTTTTGGGCGAACCGACCCGGGCGGTTCAGGCCGAGCGCCCGGGTCAATTTTTTTTTGTTTTTTCAATTTTTTTTCTTTTCCTAGGGTAGGGCTAGGTGTTTTGGGGAGGTTTGGGGGGTGGGGTGAGGGGGGGGGGGGGGGTCGGGGGATAACAAGAAATAAAAAAAAAATAGACATTGAACCGAGCCCGGCCCAGTTAGGCCCGGACCCGGTATCAACCCGGGCCGGTTCCGAGCCCAAGGATTTGCAAAAAAGCCCGCCCGGGCCCGGGCCGGAACCGGAACCGGCCCGGGCCCGGGCCGGAACCGGAACCGGCCCGGGTGCATCACTAATAGGGGTAAAAGAGTTTTACTATCCAAATATTACCAAAAAGGGAAGTGTGAACTCAAATTTGGGGTATCCCAAATACTCCTTCTATCTTATTTTACGTCTTTCTTTTTTAGGTCGTTCCAAAATAAGTCACATTTTTATTTGGAAAGAAATAATGTAGTCCGCAACAATTCACTTTATTATACTCAAATCTTAACCACAATTTTTACTTTTTCAATGACTTTATTAATAATTGTGTCAAACCAAAGTACGACACATAAAATGAAATATAGGTAGTAGGAAAATGAGTATTTAATGAGACAGGAAGTATAATAATATGTACACACGCCAATATATTTTTCAGATAGGAAATGCATTTATATTAATATTATGTATGCATATGACGAAATCTAAGCGCGATCGGTAGTTATGGTAACAACAAAGTACAAGAAATAAGTTCAAACAAAGATATCCCAAAGGCATAGCAAATCTTGCAACTTATTTGGAAGTTTCTTCTGGTCGTTTTGCTGCAACCTTATTCGGCCGCACATCATCAACATTAAGTTGTGAGGACATAGAGTCCAGGGCAGAGTTCAATTGTTCTATCTTTGCAGCCAGTGTTTTCCGAGTCTTCTGCTCTCAGCAACATACATGTATTACATATAGTATTAGGGAAATAAGAGTAAAAACATCTTTTTCAAAACATGAACTTATGGTCAGTCTCACAGATGGTGAAATCCAGACTAATGAATCCATTTCAAGTCTCACAAATGACTGACCAACATTACCTGCTGAATCGATGTTACCAATCATTCTTTGTGGGTAGTACGGGAACAGGTAATGGCATGAGAATGAAGGAAACATGCATATTAATATCTTACTTTACATTTATAATGAAATATAATGCATGTAACCCCACCCAAATGAAATGATATTCCGATTTCGCCACATAAACAATCATTATCTTATAGGCTATGTTTGGCACAACTCGCAGCAAAGATACATTTTTGAGCTTTATAATAACAATTAGCTTTTAGTGACTCAAAAGATCTTAAAAAGGTATTATTTGATGAAAAGCTCACCGTTTGATTTATTTTGTGACTCAACAACATTCAAGTCTTAATCCCAAAAGATTTTGGGGTCAGCTAACATGAATAGATGCATGGGGATCAGAGTCAAAAGAGAAGAAAGAACAATAAAAAAATACAGTAAGATAAATCGGATTAGATAAAGATAAATATAAGATAACAAAAACATAAGAACCTAAGAAAGATACAAGATAAAAAGATAAAAGAGCATAAGAAAGACAGAAGAGAGATAAAAATAACATGAGAATATACTCCGTAGAAAGATAAAGAAAATAAATGATAAAAGAAAAAAGGAGATAGTGAAAATATAGAAAAGAGATCAGTCGTCCACACGAATGTGGACCATACACCTTGCTCTCTCCAATGTCATACTTCCATCCAACCCAAGAAGACGCATATCAGTTCTAATTCCTCTAACTCAAGTCTGTTTGGGTCTTCCTCTCCCTTTCCTCCCCACCTTCTCCCCACCTCTCAAGTCATCTAACAAGTGCATCACTCGGTCTTCTGAGCACATGACCAAACCACCGCAATAAACTCCTGCATCTTATCTTCTATAGTGTTGCCCTCACATTTAGTCTGATTATCTCATTCCTCAAGCGGTCTTTTCTGGTATGTCCACACATCCAACGCAACATCAACATCTCTGCCACATTCACCGCCCAACACTCTACACCATACATTAATGCAGACCTAAATGATGTTCGATAAAATTTACCTTTTAATCTAGTCGGTATACCTTGATCGCATAGAAGTCCTGATGCACTCTTCCATTTCATCCACCCAGCTTTGATTCTATGAGATACATCTCCATCTAATTCACCATTCTTCTGAATTGTGAAAGTATTATTGTATCTAGGAATATGCTTTAGGAATATGCTCTAGAATATGCTTTAGGAATATACTCTAGACATTATTATTGTATAGCATCTTATATAGGAATATTCCATCTTTGTAATATATATATATAGGGCCTTAACCCTCTAATAAAATACACAGAAAATCCTTTCCTCTCCGATATCATTTACTCTTATATGCTCTATTTCAACATGGTATCAGAGCATTTCAGAACATCCGATCATTTCAGAAAATCAGCTTAGAATTTTTAGTAAGCATATTATCTTTTTTTTAGTTTCCCAGCCCCTTGGCCTTTGAACACCAACAGCATCACGTCACAGCAACCTTGGGGTCCAGGCATCCAGTAACCCTTATCTCACCTCAGATTCCAGAAGGTACACATTCCACCGGCGACCAGGCCCCTGAAGTCCGCAGCAGAAAACCGACGCGCGTGATCCACACGCGCCGCCTGAAGTCCACGCCGACCACCGCACGCGCCGGCGCGTGAGACCTAGTCGCTGGCTGGAATTTCCGTCGGATACGATTCAGAATTTCAGTGGCTCGTCTTAGTTTCCTTTATCTTCTAGAGCTATTGATTTCCAGGTTTACTCGTTTTTTGAATTTCAATTCTATTTCTATCACCTGGAACCCACTCTGGTTTTTTTTTTAATCTGATGTGTTTCTAAGGGAGTAGAGCACAAGTAGGAAATGGATCGATTACTATTGTTGAAATGAACAGTAGGTATACCAAACTATTCTTCAGATTGGGAATTGGCATGGATAGTGATCTGCCTTATTTGGAGTTGATTTCAAAACTGGTGGTAACCGATCTATTCTTCTGGTGAGGAGAGAGAGGTCTGTCCTTGCTTCTGAAAATTTCCAAAAGGGAAGTTTCGTGTCAGGGTTTATTTTAATATCCCCATCCACCATATTTGAATATACTGCTTTGAGTATAGTGCCGACAGACACAACAAAAAAAAGAGAGAAAAAAAAAGAAATGACTTCCATTGATCAGTCTGGCCGAAGAATAATATGTCATTATTGTAAGAAGTCCGGACACTTGATCAAAGAATGTAGAAAATTGATGTTCAAAAATCAAGGAAATCAGCTTGCTCATGTTGCTTCCGCTACCAGTTCATCCGATGGATCAATTGCTATTTCTTCAGACGAGTATGCCATATTTATTTGCTACCAAGAAACTCTAAAGCATTCCTCTGTCCCTATCTGGGTAACCGCTAATTCAGGTATTTCAAACACGTGTCTTGTTTCCTCATCCTCGAAATGGGTCATTGACTCAGGTGCCACAGATCATATGACCGGTAATCCTAGTCTATTCTCGTCATTTCATTCATATTTACCTACTTCTAGTGTCACTTTAGCTGATGGATCTACCTCACCCGTTCTTGGATCTGGTACTGTTGTTCCAACTTCTACATTACCATTATCGCCTGTTTTGAGTCTTCCTAATTTTGCATTTAATCTACTTTCCATCAGTAAAATCACTCGTACTCTTAACTGTTCTGTAACATTTTTTCCGGGATATTGTGTGTTTCAGGATCTGTTAACGATGCAGATTATTGGTAAAGGACATGAGTCAGCTGGTCTATATATTTTGGATACATCCATCACCAAAGGTATCTCTTGTCTTGGGGTTGGGACTTTGTTAGATGCTCATTACCGATTAGGACATCCATCTCTCCCATTAATGAAGCAAATAAATCCCCAATTTAATAAGATGACCTCTTTACAATGTGAGTCATGTCAATTTGCGAAACACCATCGTACTAGCTTAGGCCCGCGAGTTAATAAACGAGCAAATGCTCCATTTGACCTTGTTCACTCTGATGTTTGGGGTGCTTGCCCGGTTGTGTCTAAAGCTGGTTTTAAATATTTTGTTACCTTTGTTGACGACTATTCTCGTATGACATGGTTGTATTTCATGAAACGTCGATATGAGTTGTTCACTCATTTTTCTTCCTTTTGTGCTGAAATTAAAACTCAGTTTAACGTTCCTGTTCGGGTGTTAAGAGGAGACAATGCCCAAGAATATCTATCTGCTACATTTAAGTCATTTATGCTTCAACATGGCATTATTCATCAAACTTCATGCGTTGATACACCTCCTCAAAATGGAGTTGCGGAACGAAAGAACCGACATCTGTTAGAAACTGCAAGGGCTCTTCTATTCCAAATGAATGTGCCTAAACAGTTTTGGGCAGATGCCGTGTCTACTGCATGTTTTTTGATAAATCGAATGCCATCTTCTGTTTTGAATGGTAAAGCTCCTTATCATTGTCTATTTCCAAACAGAGAGCTTTTTCCTATCCCGCCTAAAATATTTGGTTGCACTTGTTTTGGTAGAGATGTTAATCCTCATCTAACAAAGTTAGATCCGAAATCATTAAAATGTATTTTCTTGGGTTATTCTCGAGTCCAAAAGGGGTATAGATGTTTTTGTCCGAGTACTGGTCGGTATCTTGTTTCTATTGATGCATCATTTCATGAAAATACACCTTTTCATCATCTAAGGCAGATATTCGTGAGAGTAATGATGATATTCTCATTTACACGATGACTATTCCCGAGTCCACACTTTCGACAAATATTCCACAAGTTACGGTTCATGACCCTAGGCCTCCCGTACATTTGGTATAACCTCGTCTACACAAAGCACCTGATCACCCTCCACCGGCGATACCTGTGATTACTTTTCTTGATACTAGTTCGACTCCGATCTCATGTCCTGAACCAGTATCTGCATCTTCAGATCTTGTTTCCACATCAGATCTTGATCTCCCAATAGCAGTACGTAAAGGTACACGGTCTTGTACTCATCCTATTTCTTCATTTGTGTCGTACAATCAGTTATCTCCTGCTTCATGTTCTTTTATTGCTTCCATTGATTCTATTTCTGTTCCAAAATCTGTCAAAGAAGCTCTGTCTCATCCTGAATGGCGTCAAGCCATGGTAGAGGAAATGAATGCTTTAGATCTTAATGGTACATGGGATTTGGTTGACTTACCTACAGGGAAGAAATCTATTGGATGTAAGTGGGTCTTTGCTGTTAAGGTTAACCCAGACGGATCCGTTGCTCGGTTGAAAGCCCGATTAGTTGCGAAGGGTTATGCTCAAACCTATGGTGTTGATTATTCTGACACTTTTTCTCCTGTTGCTAAATTAACATCTGTCAGGTTACTTATCTCACTCGCTGCAATTCATGATTGGCACTTACATCAATTGGACATTAAAAATGCATTTTTGCATGGTGACCTTAAGGAAGAAGTCTATATTGAGCAACCTCCGGGATTTGTTGCTCAGGGGGAGTATGGTAAAGTTTGTCGACTTCGCAAATCTCTTTATGGTCTGAAACAGAGTCCTCGTGCATGGTTTGGGAAATTCAGTCAATCAATTGAACAATTTGGAATGATAAAAGGCAAATCAGACCACTCTGTGTTTTACAAACAAACAGAATCAGGTGTCACATTGCTTGTGGTATATGTTGATGATATTGTGATTAAAGGGAGTGATAATGCAGGTATTTTGGCCCTTAAGAATTTTCTGCATAGTCAATTCCAGACGAAAGATCTTGGCTCTTTGAAATACTTTCTGGGAATTGAGGTAACACGAAGTAAGAAAGGCATATTTCTATCTCAACGTAAATATGTACTTGACTTACTAGCTGAGACAGGGAAATTAGGGGCAAAACCAAGTACAACACCCATGGTTCCCAACGTGCAACTCACTCAAGAAGGCACACCGTTTGAAGACCCAGAAAGATATAGAAGACTGGTTGGAAAGCTTAATTATCTCGCAGTCACCCGTCCAGATATTGCTTATTCTGTGAGTGTAGTGAGTCAATACATGTCATCTCCGACCATTGATCATTGGGCTGCTGTAGAACACATATTATGTTACTTAAAGGGAGCACCAGGACGAGGTATTGTTTATCAAAACCATGATCACATGAGAATAGAATGCTTTGCAGATGCTGATTGGGCCGGTTCTAAAGATGATCGAAGATATACATCTGGCTATTGTGTCTTTGTTGGTGGTAATCTTGTATCCTCGAAGAGTAAGAAACAGAATGTGGTTTCTCGTTCTAGTGCTGAATCAGAATATCGAGCTATGGCACAATCCGCATGTGAGATAATATGGATACACCATTTATTGAATGAAATTGGATTGAAGACACCAATGCCTGCTCAGTTGTGGTGCGATAACCAAGCTGCTATACACATAGCAAACAACCCCGTATTTCACGAGAGAACAAAGCATATTGAGGTTGATTGCCATTTTATTCGAGAGAAGATACAAAAAGGATTAATCTCTACCGGGTATGTGAAGTCTGGAGAACAACTTGGAGATTTATTCACTAAAGCTCTAAATGGGATTCAAGTTGATTACTTATGTAACAAGTTGGGCATGATAAATATCTATGCTCCAACTTGAGGGGGAGTGTGAAAGTATTATTGTATCTAGGAATATGCTCTAGAATATGCTTTAGGAATATACTCTAGACATTATTATTGTATAGCATCTTATATAGGAATATTCCATCTTTGTAATATATATATATATAGGGCCTTAACCCTCTAATAAAATACACAGAAAATCCTTTCCTCTCCGATATCATTTACTCTTATATGCTCTATTTCAACATGAATCATGGAGCCCAAATAACGGAACATATCACAAACTGGCATCTCCTTACCATCAAAGTAATATCACTGTAACTACTACTTCTACCTTCACCAAACTTGCACTCCATATTCTCAATCTTGCTTCGACTTAATCTGAAACCCTTAGTCTCCGGCTGTTTGTCGTCATACTTCTGACTTTGCTTTAGCACCCGATTGTGTCTCATCGATCAATACAATATCGTTGGCAAACATCTTGCACCACGGTATATAACAAACTATCGTGACTAACTAATGCTAAAAGCCTAAAAGCAACAAACTTTTTCTCGCAAACGTGTAGCTTCCCAAAAATGATCTTTTACTTTTAAAAAGCTATTAATGATTGTCGTGTCAAACATACAACTAGAAGCTTTTAAAAACTTTAAATCATACAAAAGTTAAAAGGTAAGGACTTATGCCTACCAAACATGCACATGATCTAAAACATTGCCCAAAAATCCAATACTTTGTATTGTGTGTGCACTACAGCTGTATATTGTGGTAATTGGTAAATGTTCAACAGATTAGGATTGGTAAAAGATGCTGATAGACAAATATTCCTTTATGTAGCTTTGTTGACATTATTCTCCATATTAGGGGGTGTTTGTGATTACTTGTGTTTGTGAGAAGTGATTTACTTTAGAGATTATAGAAAAAGTGGTTAATTGTAAAAGTAGGTAGTGTTCGAAAATAGGAGTGTTTTTTAAATAGTAGAAGTTAGAGTGTTTGGTACAGAAAATAATTTTTATAGTATTATTAGGGCAAAAAGTTTTAGAAGAGTTTATAAGCAGTTCTAAGGCCCCCCTACCAGTGTTTGGAGCTATTAGCTTCAAAGTGATCAAGTTTAATAAGAAGCACATGATTGAAAACAGAAAACAGAAAAGAACTTTAAATGATCTTCTGCAAACACTCCTTAGGAAGATTAGTGATATTTGAGAAGAGGAATACATTTACTTGGAGCTTAAAGAAGAACCTGGAAGAAGTTTAGGAAATTTAAGAAGACGCAGAAGCAACACAAAGAGTGCACTCCGATATTGCAAAAAATAACAATAGAACAAATATATTTAAGACACAATTTCCTATTTATTACCTCCAGAGCTTTCTCTTCATCATATATAAACTTTGGCATTTTTCTCAACAAATCTTTTCGGTCAGCTTCTGATAGAACCTTGCTCAACTGCAGGGATATATGGCATCCATTGGCAACATAAACAGAGTCACTGTCTTACACCCTTAGTGTCTTACAAAGGAAAACCAAAACGTAGTTAAAAAGAAAAGAGCACATGAACTACACGTCTACACTATATAAAATTAAGCTTCCTATGCATTGAAAGGGGGGTATTATTACATATAACCTACAATGCTTAACATTTAAAATTTTGAGATCAGCAATAGTACCAAACATTACTTCAAATTAAGGGAAACTAGCAACAAAATATTTCTTATATATACCTGTGGTGCATATATGCATCCCAATGCCCCAACAAGAATTCCACCAAGCACAAAACCACCAATGAAACTGGCTGCTTCATTAGATCTTCCTCTGGTAACAGTGCAGCACATTGAAAAAAACGTTAGCACATAGAAGGGGGAAAGTAGATATCATACATTTAGCAATGCATTAAATAGCATTTGATAGAGCATGATCTTTTTATGGCCATAAAGTTTGACAGTAGGATCTAGGTTTCGACAAGGTGTGCTAACCCTCTTTTATTGTTATATTTAACCCATCAAAGTTTTACATCATTTGCAATGGAGCCAAAGACTCACTATTCTTTGGCTTATGAATATGATGGAATAAAGCAAATGGGCTCACTAAACTGTCTGCGCTTCTTTGTTATGAAGCAACAGTCAGTCCATGCAATTTTTGACACGATTTTCACTATGGGTCATCCGGAAACGGACTCTTTGTGCTTTAGTACAAGGGTAAGATTGCGTACATCCAACCCCCTACCCCACCGTAGGTGAGGCCTTTGGGGCACTGGGGTAATGATAATGAATGAATGATATTTAACCCATCAAAGAGCCTGCATTTCATCTATTTTTTTCCTTTAATATGCACTCCCTACTCTGTCTCAAAAATAGTTTTGTTTGTAATACAAGCATTCAGTACTACAAGCATGCCTTTTTCCTGTACCAAGCTCTTTTACTGATCTTACATATAAATTTATGGTATTTGAAATGTCTGACAATAAATACAAAACAAAAGATACCAAAGCTTAAGTTCTCTTGAAGAAAACTATATGGATCATTTTATAGTTTTTTAGACATTTATTTAATTTTACTTAATACCTATGTTATTTAATCAATACTCCATCATTTGCGATGGAGCCAAGAGTCACTATTTTTTGGCTTGGGAATATGATGGAGTAAAGTAAAATGGCTATGCGCTTCTTTGTTATGACGCAACAGTCAACCCATGCAATTTTCGACGCGATTTTCACGTTCGATCATCCAGAAACAGTCTTTGTGTTTTAGTACAAGGGTAAGGGGCTGCGTACATCCGACCTCTCCTTACCCGACCGTAGGTGGGAGCCTTTTGCGGCACTGGGGTAATGATGATGACCTATGTTATTTAATCAACAGGCACTCACTACTCGGGGTAGAGCAATGTCGATTATTACTTTGACTCGCACTATTCCACTTCTCCGAGCAACTCAGCGAGTACTCGGACATTCTCTCTACTGGGTGACAAGGATGACTCGCCGAGTTACTCACCAGCTAGTAAATTGTTTTTTTTTTGGAGTTCAATCTGAAAAATTTAAAATAAATTAGGATATTATGAAACTTTTTGGTATCATGCCTGTCCCAAGCCAGGATAAAGGAGGAGGGTGCTGTGGTAGGCGTGTGACGGCCAACAGTATCACCTAGTCACATCACATGACATGAATCGAAATATGAAAATCGCTAATGCTAGGTCGTCACCCGTAAGTGACGCGTCATCCCTCCGCCTGGGGTGGTGTCAAATATGCAAGGGCGCGCTACACTTGATAGACCTGGGTGTGGTGATAAGAATGCTAAGGTTGCTAGGTCGCCGCCCAGAAGCGGCGCGTCATCCCATTGCCCGGGAATGATGTCAAATATGCAAGGGCATGGTGGGGTCCGAGATAGGGCTAAGAACAGAAGGTGGAATGCTAGATTGCGTTTTGGGACATGGAATGTTGGGTCTCTTACAGGGAAATCTTCTGAGGTAGTCGAGGTTATGAGCAGAAGGAATATCAGCATTATGTGTGTGCAAGAAACTAAATGGGTTGGAGAGAGAGCACGCGAGATTAATCCCGGAGGTTTTAAGTTGTGGTATTCTGGGAGAGATAAGACTAGAAATGGGGTAGGCATTATTGTGGCGCGTGACTATGTTGAGGATGTGGTAGAAGTCTTCAGGAAGAACGATCGCATCATGAGCATTAAATTGGTGATAAGAGGTGAGATTGTGTCTGTGGTAAGTGCCTATGCACCACAAGTGGGATTGGATGCATCTACAACTCAACAGTTCTGGGAAGATCTTGAAGACGTGGTGCGACGAGTGCCAAGGGGAGAGAAGTTGATCATAGGAGGTGACCTCAACGGGCATGTGGGCTCGAGTCGTGATGGCTTTGAGAATATTCATGGCGGACATGGTTTTGGCACTAGGAATGAGGCGGGAAAGAACATTTTGGATTTTGCCTTGACGTATGAGTTGGCTATAATGAACACTTGGTTTAAGAAAAGAGACTCTCACCTTGTAACCTATAAAAGTGGAGCTAATAGTACCCAAATTGACTACTTCTTAGTACGGACCACTGGGAGAACTAGCTACACTGATTGTAAGGTTATTCCAGGTGAGAGTGTTGTCACTCAGCATAGGATGCTTGTGCTTGACTTTCGAGGTAAGAACCATGGAAGACAAGTTAAACAACAAGTGGAGCCAAAGATAAAGTGGTGGAGGCTAGAGGGAGATCTTCAACAAAGCTTTACACACAAAATGGTCGGTGAAGATGTATGGCGTATTGATAATGAAACACAGGTGGATGATGTGTGGTTATCAATGGAGTTGACCATTAACAAAGTGGCAAAGGAGGTACTTGGAGAATCTAAAGGATGTCGGCCACCTAAAAAGGACACATCTTGGTGGAATGATGAGGTGAAACAAGCCATAAGAAACAAAAGAGATTGCTACAAAAAGTTGGGGACAAATTGGAGTGATGAGAACATAGAAGCATACAGGGAGGCTAAAAGACAAGCAAAGAAAGCCGTAAGGGAAGCACGAGGGAAAGTGAACAAGGAGTTGTATGAAAAGTTGGACTCTAAGGAAGGAGAACTAGATATTTATAGACTTGCTCGTCTTTGTGATCGCAGAACTCAAGATATTGCAAAAGTTAAGTGTGTGAAGGATGTTGATCAGAGGATATTAATGGACGACGGAGAGATAAAAGAGAGGTGGAGGTCATACTTTGATACACTATTCAACGGGAACAAAACGCAAGATATCGGTGATTTGTCCATACCAGATTGTATGGTAAACCTTGATTTTGTGAGAAGGATCCAAACTACGGAAGTTAAAGAAGTTCTGAGGAAGATGGGACGGAAAAGAGCAATGAGGCCAGATGGCATACCGATCGAGGCTTGGAGAAGTTTGGGAGAGAGAGGCGTCGAGTGGTTAACAAGTTTCTTCAACATGATTTGGAGAAACAACAAGATGCCAACGAGTTGGAGGAAGAGTACTCTTATCCCTTTATTTAAGAATAAAGGTGATGTACAAGAATGTGCCAACTATCGAGGGATTAAGCTTATGAGTCACACCATGAAACTTTGGGAGCGAGTGATTGAGCAAAGACTTCGAAGGACTGAAGATTTCAGAGAATCAATTCGGTTTTATGCCTGGTCGCTCAACAACTGAGGCTATTCACCTTCTTCGTCAACTTATGGAGAAGTATAGAGATGCTCATAAGGATCTGCATTTGGTGTTCATTGACTTAGAAAAGGCATATGATAGGGTACCTCGAGAAGTTCTTTGGTGGGCCTTAACTAGGAAAGACATATCACGCAAGTATATCAGCATCATCATGGATATGTATGAGGATTGTACTACAAGTGTTCGTACTAGTGTAGGGAGGACTGAAGAGTTCCCTATTACTATCGGAGTGCACCAAGGATCGGCCTTGAGTCCTTTCTTATTTGCCATAGTCATGGATGAACTTACGAAGTCAATTCAAGACGATATACCGTGGTGCATGATGTTTGCCGACGATATTGTATTGATTGATGAGACGCAATCAGGTCTTAAAGCAAAGTTGGAAGTATGGCGACAAACATTGGAGAATAAGGGTTTCAAACTAAGTCGGAGCAAGACAGAGTACATGGAGTGCAAGTTTGGTGGAGGTAGAAGTAGTGGTAATAGCGGAATTACTCTGGATGGTAAGGAGATACCAGTCAGCGATATGTTCCGTTACTTGGGCTCCATAATTCAGAAGGACGGTGAGTTAGATGGAGATGTATCCCATAAAATCAGAACAGGGTGGATGAAGTGGAAGAGTGCGTCAGGATTTCTGTGCGACCGAGGTATGCCGACTAGACTGAAGGGTAAATTTTATAGGACAGCAATTAGGCCTGCATTACTGTATGGCGTAGAGTGTTGGGCGGTGAAACAATGTCACATTCAAAAGATGAGTGTGGCAGAGATGCGCATGCTGCGTTGGATGTGTGGGCATACTAGGAAGGACCGCGTGAGGAATGAGACAATCAGACAAAGGGTGGGAGTAGCACCTATTGAAGACAAGATGCGGGAGTCGCGCCTACGGTGGTTTGGTCATGTGCGTAGAAGACCGAGTGATGCACCTGTTAGGCGAGTTGAGATGTGTGGAGAAGAGGCAGGGAAGAGAGGGAGAGGAAGACCCAAACAGACGTGGGTTAGGGGAGTTCGAAGTGATATGCTTCTTCTGGGGTTGGATGAGGGCATGACTTTGGAGAGAACTAAGTGGAGGGCGGGTATTCACGTGAAGGAGTGATCTTGATAATCTTTTTCCCTCATCTTTTTTTTCCTAGTTTTTTTTATCCTTGTATATATATGCATTATTTGCAGCCTTTTTATTTTATCATTTTTATATATAGTCATCTTTTTTATATTATCTTTTCATAATAGCTTATCTTTTTATCTTTATTCCTTCTTTTCCTTTTGGTTGTGATATCATGTATCGATTCATGTTAGCCGACCCCAATATCTTTTGGGACTAAGGCTTGGATGTTGTTGATGTTGTTGTAGGATATTATGAAACTTTTTCATCATTTGCAATGGATCCAAAGACTCACAATTTTTTGGCTTGGGAATATGATGGAATAAAGCAAAATGGCTTACTAAAACAGCTGCGCTTCTTTGTTATTGTGAAAGTATATTAGAATATACTTTAGAATATGCTTTAGAATATACTAGGAATATACCATAGATATTATTATTGTATAGAATCTTATATAGGAATATTCAATTTGTAATGTATATTTATAGGGACTTCCACAACTAATGAAATACACAGAAAATCCTTCTCTTCATCTTCAATATTATTCTAGTGTATATTTCAATATG